GCTGGTAGTAACAGGTGCCTTACTAGTAGTAACAAGAAGCTATTAGTTTAAGTCTAATTCGTGCGGCCCACAGACCGAAGATTTTCTCACCATCTTGGACCCAAGGCTCATGCGAATCCATGGGGAGCAAGTCTTTGTGGATGGGCTCTTCAATGCAGACCCGCATCCTGGCAATGTCATGTGGCCCGGCACAGAGCCAATGCGAACTTAGCTAGCCAGGTTCTCATGCTGGAGCGAGGTGTTCTCCGCAAATGGGCCTGAATCGGGATGAGCCCGCAAAAACCTACCTTCAGGCATGATGATAAGACATGTAGAAGTCAGACCTGCACCCACACTGTCTCAGAAGGCCTCAAAACACTTCAAACCCATTTCAACGACACGCTAAGTATGACATGCTTGCTAGGTGCGTCAGTGAGGTGCCTCCTTCAAGCCTCAAAAACCAGTCGCCGCCCAGTCGGCATTCAAACCAAGTGGCCGCAAGCAGCCAGGCTTCTTCATGATGCTCATGATAGTGTGGGACTGATCGACTTTGGGCAAGTGAAGGCGCCCAGAAAGTCAAGCGAGAGCGGCCCAATCTGATTCACTCTGCGGATGGTGCGGTTTTTTGTGATTGACTTTGCCGGAAAGCTTCGTGTGTGCTAGATGCTCCCATCCAACAAGATTGAATCTGGACGATCAACCAATTGAAATTCTTGAAAGGTTTTGAGTGCCGGCAAGATGACTTGCGTCAAGCACTTGCGTTCTGAGTGTAGACCAGAGGACAACTGACGGACCACCATCTGCAGCTAGTCACGAGACCGCTATTCATCTAGCGTTGTAGCTCATCAGCTGTCGCAGGAGTTGTCGCTGGACTTCCGAGTGCAGTTGGCCAAGCTGATCATTGCCTTGTCCCGACGTGATGAGGCTGAAGTGGTTCGACTAGACAAGGCGCTGATGAAGAGGGTGACCCTGCCAACATGTGCTTGTTTTGAGCAGCGTGTCCTGATAGTTATATTTCCAGGAGAGTGCCTACACCTTTGTGCATTGCCAACTTGCCCTTACATGATGGAAAGGGGATGACAGGGGCAGCCGTTGCTTTGTTTACTTTTCTCATCTCTTTGGTAGACTTAGTTTGTACTGCTGATCTCTGCGAGGAGATGGGCAGCAGGACGCAGCTCAGCAAGGCAGACGTCAGGTGGGCAGGTTGGGGTTGTAGACAGTAGTTGCTAAGTTTTTCCAAAACATTTAGGAACCAAAAGAATAGAAGCGTGAGCTATTCTGCGTCCAGTACGTAGTAGCTTACTTAGCCCTTACTTCATTAAGTAGGCACTTGCTTACTGTAATTATAAGTGGTGAGGGGCGGAGCGGCCTTTGAAAAAGAACAAAAGTAAACACAATACAGAAAGAAGGCACAGGCCCAAGGAGTTGCATGAGTATGCAGGAGCCCCTAGTAGCGTCCTTGTTCCTAGCAGTAAGGCCAGAAGCCCCTAGTAGCGTCCTTGCTCCTAGTAGCGATGCCAGGTGCCCCTAGTAGCGTCCTTGTTCCTAGTAGAAAGAAGGCACAGGCCCAAGGAGTTGCATGATTGAGGATTTGCCCAAATGAGTATTCGTTGCCTTCTACACGCCACATTGCTCTCACAGGCTTTGCCCCACGGCAGATGTGTCAATTTCCAAAAGTGCGACATGGCTACTGACTTGCCAGGTACCGTGTGGTTACCTTCTGGTTGGACCGTGACACTGATGATGTCACTGGTGGGCAATCCTTCCACAACTTCCTGGCTTGGGCTGAAGAGGAGGATCCTTTGCTGGAGATGCCAAGGGATCTCCACTTGGTCGCTTGATGCAAATGGAGGGGCTTCGAAAGGATGTGTTGCGCTCCACATGTCCGGAATTGGAGAACCTTAAGGTATTGAACATTGATAGACTACAAAGCGAGGTCTTAAGGTCTTAAGGGGAAGTTGCCGTGGCTAAACCATGGTTCCAAATGTGCAGAGCAGGCGCATACGAGGTGGGATGAGTGGGTTGCCAACGTTGCCAGCTTCCAGTCGTGCAGGTAATGAGATGTTCGTGTATGATCCGGAACCTGGCTTTGAGCTTCGGCATCCGCCTCTCCACTGCAGAGCCTTGGCACGCTGCCACTTTGGAATCCATGTGAGACCGGTATCTCCAACGATCATACCATACACTTTGCTCAATTAGTTAAACAAGTGCGATGTGTGCATGGCCATCCGAATGGGAGCAAAGAGTCGTGGACAAGACAAACCAGGCCACACCTCATACTCCATGGCTTGCCTCGATCAGAGTTTTTAATGCCCGATGCCATTTAGAATTTGAGGCAGCGTCTTTCATTAAAGTTTATATACATGTGCCGGTTGCCGGGCAAGAATGTCGAATTCAAGCTTTGGTTCTGGGATTGAGCAAGTTGTTGCCCTAAATGCTAACATGTGCAGAAAAGAGCACCATGAGCAATGGCATATTTTGGACGTTTCCAGGGGTCACGCATGAGCAGCCACGAGCGTGTAGGTTATACGCCCCACCAATTGTGCTGGACTTGAACTTACTAGGTGCACAAGTGCTGAGAGAACATGGCGACGGGGCCTCTCACCATCGAGGATTTTGATTGCACTAGGCATGTCGCATACTTCAAGAAGCATGCCAGATACCTTCCTGAGCACTACAAGAGCATGGATACAAATCGCTTGACACTGCTTTACTTCAGCATTTCTGGACTTGATTTGCTAGGCAAGGTGGATGAGCTCGATCGCGAAGCTTCCATTGAATACATTTACTCGTTCCAATCTTCGTTTGAGGATCATGGCGGTTTTTATGGCTATCCCAAGGTGTCCTTCGACACCACAGATTTGGACAAGGCCAACAACCAGCCTCACATTGCCAATACCTATGTGGCTTTGGTCATGCTGATGATCTTGGGTGATGACCTGAACCGCGTCTCACGGGCAGGTGTGGCGGCATCGTTGCGGAAATGGCAATTGGAGGATGGTAGCTTCTGCTGCGTGAATTGTCTTTCCAGCTTGGATAGTGAAAGTGATATCCGCTTTGTGTATTGTGCTGCTAGCATTTGCTATATTCTGGATCTTTGGCATGCAGTGGATGTGGAGAAAATGTCCCGTTTCATCCTGGCTTCCCGGTCCTATGATGGAGCATTCGGAATGGGCCCAGGCACTGAATCCCACGGAGGGTGCAGCTACTGTGCAGTTGCTTCTTTGGCCATGATGGGATGCTTGGAGGACCTGCCAGAGAGGGAAAAACTGGTGCAGTGGTGTGCTGCACGTCAGCTGAGTGGCTTTCAGGGCCGCATTGAGAAGGATCCAGACAGTTGCTACTCCTTTTGGGTTGGTGGCACCCTGCAACTCCTAGGGGTGGACTTCCTTGAGTGCCAAAGTTGTGCTCAGTTCTTGCAGACCTGTGAGTCCAGACTCGGAGGCTTTCAGAAGTTCCCTGAAGCACCAGTACCTGATCTTTTGCACTCCTACTTCTCCGTGTGCGGCTTGAGCCTGTGTGGTCTCCTCCCACCACTGGATGCCATGCTTGGCATGTCACGTGCTTCACGCGAAGCTTCTGCAGCTCGCGGGGCGCTTCGGGCGATCCCTGCCCGAGGGGCCCCACCACCTTCACGGCCCTCACCCAGTTCGAGCCTGGCACAGTCAGCGAGTGAGAATCGCGAGACCCAGAGGTCCACAGCGAGTTCATGGAACATTGGGAACATCCCAGCGTCACTGCTTCTGGCCATGTTTGCACTCTTGGTTTCAGCAATCCTTCGAGGATTTCAATGAGGGGTGGCACGTGTGGAAAAGAAACTTTCAAGTTGACGTTGTCCGAAATGTTGTGCGAGTCTACCACGCAAGTTGGGCATGAGACAACAATTGTTCCTTCAAAGTGGCATTTCGACCACCCAACAAGATTGTTGCAGTTTGAAGTTATGGTTGCCGCATGTCAGTGGTCCGATACGTTTGGTATATACATACATGACAAACCTAGGAAAAATGAATTAGCGGCCAACTCTAAGGAGTACTGGAAGCCTGAAGCGGAAGCATTGCTCCGGAAGCATGGTGTTGCCTACTGAGTCAGGTCTGCCACGTGAGGGGCATAGGAACGGTGGGGTTATATAATGAGAGTGACTGGTTATCACTGATCACGGTTGGCGTTAGCCTGGTCTCATGAATTGTGAGGAATTGCGGAATGGCATGTCACAAAATAATGCGTACCGTATCAGACTGTAACTAACATGTCTTGGACGTGCATTGCACGAGATCGCTTTCTACTGTCCTTGATTTCCCTAGAGTCAGAGCTGCCCCAACATGGTCATGTTGTGTGCCAACTGATGCAGGCCAGCTTTAGCAGCTAGGATCGGCTAGCAATGCCAGCAATCAATCAACACGCCATAACATGCCACCTCCTGTCCCGATTTGCACCAGGAGTGATCCTGTCCGTCCTTCGGACGAACTGAAGCCAGAGGTTTCATGCAACAGGCTGCAGAAGATGCAGGGTTCTTTGGAAACATGCGCTGAGCCCTGTGAATGTTTTAAGGACACCAGCCTTGCGCGCCGATTTTAGACATTTATTGTATTCGAATGTTAGGGGAGCCAGCAGTCACTTCATGTCCATTCCATGTCTGGCTTGCTGAGGGCTGCATGCCCCCACCCGATCAAGAGGAAAGACGGCAACAGTCCTTCAAAGATGAGACAACAAGTGGACGTGGAGTTTGGCTTGCGTTTGCCATTTCAGCTGCCCTCAGACGAAGGGTCGTAATCGAAGCTGGAAGTGTACATGGGCAGTTTGGTGTGTGGCTACAGTTGGTGGCTAGCGGCTAGCGGCTAGCGGCTGAGTACTTACTGCATTGCTCATTGTGCCATAAGCGCAAGCCTGCTAAACATAGGTTTGTGCAATCTTCAACCCAAGGTGTACGAGCCATGCTTGGAAGTGGAGATTGAAGAAAATTGTCATTCGAACAAATACCAACGGCCTCCAACCTACTGGTGATGGCCTCCAACCTAGGTCATGGTCTTTGGGAAGAGGCAATCTATTTGTTTATATGCGCGTGTATGTATATATATATATCTCGAGATATTTTTATATTGGCCCTAGGTGACAATACACGCAAACTGATATGTGGACATGTGAGCTTTTGAACATCCAAATGGCGTCTGACCTAATTATTACTATTATAGAACCGGACCGCCCGAGCTTCCGCATCAGCTTAGCGGCCAGAAGAGCGGCTCACCACCGGAACCTCCGGAAATTCAATTCCAAAAAAGCAAGTGTGCGGCTTGTGCGTTTGTTTGTGCTAGGTTCATCTCAAGTGAGATTTCGCACGAGGAGGGTCTTTCTGGATACTTGTATATGTAGAGTCAGCATACGTGTGCCTAGGATTGCAAGTTGAATGGCAGCAATTAGTACATGGCCATGGAACGCCTTAGCTTTTGCTCTATATAGGAGATTCTTATATTATAATTACATAATATTTTATATATATTATGTAAATGTAATATAGTTCCCCCAAACAGGTTTACCTGTCAGGGGTTCTTACTCCTTTGAAAGGGGTGCATGCCCGGGCCGCATGATTTTACATTTGTCTCCGGGCTTGCGTTCCTGCCACACTGCGATTGCTTTGGCCACATGATGTTACAGGTGTCTCCCAGCACGCTTGTCTCCCGCTTGTCTCCCCTGTCTCCAGTACACTCTGCTGCTCTGGCCGCGTGATTTTCACACTTGTCACGAAAGGTAGCCTGGTAAGGACTACCTTGAGTTTGCTTTGCGAAGCAAAGGGACTGTGCTCGGGACTAAAGATTGGTAGATCAATGTCTAACACCCCCACCCCCCCCTCCCATGTGATGATTCATTGATAAATCAATTGTTTTGCACCCCCCCCCTCCCCTCCACTCCCCTCCCCTCCACTCCCCTCCCCTCCCCTCCACTCCCCTCCCCTCCCCTCCCCATCCCCTCCCCTCGCCAGCGCTACTAGCATTCTGGACGCACCGTCACACCATAAGGTGAATAAGGTGAAGTCATGCGCGTAGCAGTCACAGCAGTACGGCCATGAGGTTGCGCAATACAGCACGAACCCTGCACAATGAGGTTGCGCTATGCGGCTTCGATGCTGCGCGTGCGCGCCCGGCAGCCTGACATAGCGCGTACTGCGTTCACAGACCATATTGCTCGACACCAACGAGCTTTGATGCAACACAGCCTCTCTGCAAAGCCCTGTGGAGAAACCTGTCGCTTCGCGGAGCACCATTCGACTCAGCCTTCTACCCTCGCGTGGCGACATCTTACCGCATCGTGGAGCACCACTACACAGCTATTTACTATTATGCACCCTTTCCATCAGCCACCCACCATAGCGTGACGCGTGCAGGCCTGCAATCCTGACACAGTGCGTGTAGCTGTGGGACCATAGCTGGTTAAGTTTTCACACACCTTTACACAAACGAGCGTCGACGCAACGCAGCCTCTCTGCAGAGCCGGGTGCCGCAATCTGATCGCAACGGTGTTCCTCTTGAGCCTTCTTGTGCTCTTTGGCTTTGTTGGTTTCATCCATGACTGACTAAGGGGAACTTTCCTGAAACACTGGAGACAGTTCCTCACCAGAAAAGGTCCCAACAGCTACCCGGTCCGTCTCTACCTTTCGTGTTTCCCCGCTCAAGTCTTCCACTTGTCTCCAGTACACTCTGGGTGCTCTGGCTGCATGATTTCGCACTTGTCTTCCACTTGTCTGCCTTCTGTCCCAGTACACTTGTCTCCCACTTGTCTCGAGCACGCTTGGCCGCATGATTTTACACTTGTCTCCCACTTGTCTCCCTTGTCTACCAGTCCGCTCTGGGCCCTCTGGGCCGCATGAACGCTCCTCGGCTGATGTTTCTTCTGCCTACTCTGGATAAACTTGGCCGGATGTTTTTACACCTGTGTCCGCTTGCCTCCCTGCTTGTCTCCCTTCTTGTTGCACTTGTCTCCCACTTGTCTCCGCCTACTCTGGATACACATGGCCGTATGTCTCCACTTGTCAACTTGTCCCATTGCTTTTTCTCCATGCTTGTATGTTCTCGGCTGGATGGTTTTACACTTTTCTCTCTGCTTGTCTCCCTTCTTGTTTCACATGTCTCCACTTGTCTCGGCCTACTCTGGGTACGCTTGGGTGGATGATTTTGCACGTGTTTTCCAATTGTCTCCCTGATGGTCTTTCTGCTTTTGTTACACTTGTCTCCACTTGTCCCCCTGCTTGTCTCCCTTGTTGCTTCACTGGCCTCCCTTTTTGTCTAACCTCACAAACCCATGGTGGGTTGAAAGCGTTTCACATCTTTTAGCAAGGCAAAGGGTAATAAAGCCAGGTGTCAGTACAAGTCAGCATATTCTATAGATTTGCGTATGTCCTGTTTTCGTTTGAATTGCCACTTCTGACCTTGAACCAATTGAGCCAAGTGCTGAAACAAACCCAGGAGGTCCGAGTTGATCGCCGCGAGCTGGAACGGTTTGAGCCGTTGACTGTTGGACAGTTCGTCTCTGTGCCTTACTTCGAAAACACGCAAAAAGTGTTTGGGGCCTGCGCTGGTACAATTTTTTTTCTACAAGTGCGGCTCCCTTGAAGCTGATCCATATGTGAATGCGAGGGTTTGACTGGTGCTTGTACGCCCGCACGTCCCTCGCGTGCCTTTGCACATTGCGTGATGCCTTCCTGGATGTGAGTAGCCTGGCAACATTCCAGAGACGAGCTGTGCACACGGCTTCCGGGACGCACTGCGCAGCACTCCCCAGAGTTTTGAACTATTCCTGAACACCTGGAATCACAGCAGTCTCCGTTAGCCTTCGCACTGATCGCCAGGGGCAGTTCATACCGCACCTCAGTGTAGGAGGGCCCAGATGCACTCCCGTGGACAACCCCTTGGCACGAACTGGGTGACATGAGTAAGGGAGAGATCTTCCAACCAAGGGTGACATGGCATTTGTTTGTGGTGCGCACAGGGGGGCCGGCAACGTACACCCACAACAACTTTGAAATTTTCTTTCACTTGCAGCCTGTGGCACCCACAAGTGGTTCACCTTGAAGGTGTAGACATCCGAACGAACTCATTTTCATGTGACAAGTTGTCCCAATTGTAGCTCTTTGGAGCATCGAAGCACAAACGGAGGCCGGCGCCGAAGCGCGCCCCGGCTAGCAGCCGGCGGTATGCGGAGGCAGAAAACCGCTGTTGGTTAGAACAGGTGACAACTTTGCTTGCGAACTGGGCGATTTGTTTACGCAGATGCCAGGTACCATGTTTCATGTCGATTTGATTTGTTCCGGCCGGTCAGGTTGGGCAACTAGTTTAGCATGAATGGGAGCGAGGAAGAACCTTGTGACATTTGGCATTATATACCTTTTCAAGAAAAGTGTCCAGCGAGTCCAGCACTTGCTTCCACTTCCCTGTGCTACACCCTGCTTAATATCCTTGGACTTTGATTTGCACCGTGGAAGACGTTTGTTTCCTCATAATTTGGTTGGACAATTTTTTCCCATCAAACTGCTGTCAAGCCCCGCAGCTAGCTGCACATGGATCATGAGGCTCATCACTTGTGATTCCTCAACCCGTTTCTTCCTTTGCCTGCCCAATCCGGAGGACTTGCCACCACATTGGAGCGATGTGCGCTTGGGTGACCAGAACCCTGCCAAGGCATTGCTTTCATTCCGAGTTGCACGAGCGCTTTTTGTTGCCTTATGTGTGGCCTTTACCACCGCGTTATAGTTCAAGTTCATAGTGTTTTCTCGTGCTGGAGCACAGTTCGGAGTCCGGAGTCGTTGAAGAAAGGTTTTTGTTTGCTTTT